AGGCGGCACGGCGCTTGCTCCCGGCAGTCCAGCGCTGTGGAGTTGTGCAGCGGCGGCGCCTTGGCCCGCATGCGCAGCCACAGCGGGCAGCCCTCGGCGCTGCGGCACCGCAGCACCTCCACCAACACGCGCGACGTGTAGCTGGGCACGAACACCCTGCAGAGGCACAGGGCGCCCTGAGCTCAAGCCCCTCTGCGCCCTGGGGGTCCCCTCTTCGGGAGACCTTCTCACACTCACTTGTAGAGGCAGGCGGGGGGTTAGAGATACTGGCACTCCTCGTAAAGCCCCTGCACCAGCAGCGCCGTCAGCGTGGGGCAATCGGGCCCTGCTCTCCTCCCTTCAGAGACCCCCAGGGTCCCCACAGGGGAGATGACAACCCTCCTGCTCCCCATATGGCTCCCCTCAGTGCTGTCAGTGCGGGGCAATCGGGCCCTGCTCCCCTCCCTTCAGTGACCCCATAGGGGAGGTGACAGCCCTCCTGCTCCCAGTGTAGCTCCACTCAGGGCACCTGTCCCACCCGCCCCCAGGTGGCCCAAGCAGAGCCCCACCGCGAGTCCCCAGCCCACGCTGCCCCTCAGCCCTTCACCTTGACGGAGATCTTGCCCTCATCTTTGGGCAGGTGAGCGGCCAAGAACCAGTCCCCGGGCAGCGGGCTGGTGACATTGAACACCCCTGTGGTCTGGTTCGGCAGGGTCCACGTGAGCATCAGTGCGAAGGAGCCAGGGACAGCCATGTCCTTGGGGAAGTGCGTGTGCAGCAGGTTAATGACAGAGGGAGTCCCTGAGCGGAAATACCTATGGGGAGACAGCAGTTAGCAGTGCACTGTGGTGGGGGCAGCCCACCTTACACACGTGGGTCTATCCTCCATGCACTTAACATACTATTAGCAAATTCAGAGACACCACGGCCAAGCCTCCTGCAAGCTGAGCACTCGCAAGCTTGCTTAGATGTGTGCTCAAGTAAAACTGCTCATGCATGAGCTATGCAAAGGAGTGGAGTGTGCAGTGGTGCTGGAAAGATGAACTGGAGGGTGCATGTTTGTGTGTGCATGTATGTGCATACACGTATATATGCATGTGTGTGTGCATGCATATGTATGTCCGTATGGGTGTGCCTGTACATTGCTCCATACCTATGTGTGCATGCAGCTAAATGGGAGCACACATGCAGGTGTAACCATCCATGTGCAAGCAAGAAGCAGACAGACTCCAGGGTAAGTCTGGGCAGGGACAGGCAGGGAACAGACAGAGGAAGGCCGCTTACTCACACGGTGATGCTGCAGTCTGGGCACTGGTCCCCAAAGGTGCCACCCTGCTCCTTGAAGGTGATGAGGTTCTAGACGGCGATGACCGTGTCCTCAGGGATGTGGAAGTGGAAGAGCTCGATGCTGGCAAAGGAGCGGAAGGGGCTGAGCTTGAGGAGTGTGTGGGTGAAGTAGTCGGTCACGAAGAGCCCATCTGCAGGGGAGACCCAAGGGGCTCTCAGTGGGGGTGCTGTGACACCTCATGCCCAGACCTGGTCCAGCCCCATCAGGCTCTGAACATGACACAGACTTGGCAGCCTGCAGGCAGGAGAGGCTGGGGTTGTGCCAGGTCACCGTGTCCCCAGGGCTGATGTCAGCAGTGCCCATCTATGCTCCCAGCTCTGGCACAGTCTGCCAGGTTCAGCATGGCCTCAAGCCCAGTGCATGGGGCTGAACTGGGCAGTCGTCCTCAGGAGCTCAAGGGAGCCCTAGGCCCCGGCTGCACTGGGCTCTGTTCAGGCACATCCAACCTCTCTTTGAATTTGTCATTTTCCCCAGCAATGACCTATTCCCTACTGCGGGTGGTGGAGGAATACGCTGAGTTAAGACATCTCAATATGAGTGATAGGCAGTATTCACTTTATTGCCCGAGACAGCGCACATTTATACAGTTACAGCTTGAGCATGCCAACGTGTCAGTCGGTGATTGGTTGCTAACGGTATTCATGGGGCTCAACCGGGCAGTCGTGCTCCGGAGGGAGACCTAGATCTGGCTGCGCTGAGCTCTGCTCAGGCACATCCAACCTCTCTTTGAATTCATCATTCTCCACAGTGATTACCTGTTCCTTACCCCTTACATGTGGCAAAGGGTGATTCCTGATGGCTCCATCCCTCCTCCATCACGGCAGCTCCCTGTGAGACCCACAGATCTCCCCTTCCCTGCCTGCTGAGGGATCTCAGCAAGAGCCTCCGCACGGCATTTCCCACACAGCCCCTCGCCTCTCCGGAGTGTGCGGAGGAAGGATGGCGCCCATATGCATGCACATATGTACTCATGGGTGCTGTCTGCCCGCACGGCGAAGCGGAGGTGCGTACACCCACACGCGTGGGCATGCATGGTGGTGCACAGCCCCACTAGGTGCAAGGCACTTCCTGCAGCCTCCCGCACTCCCTGGGGCCACATTTCCCTGCCCGACGGTTCTGGGCTTCCCAGGAGCCCCAGCAGCCGCCTCTCTGGCAGGTGGACACTGGGACGCTCTGATCTTCAGGCAGGAGGAGCAAGTGTACCTTGCTCTTGTACAAGCTCTCATTGCCAACCAGGGGAACCCAGGCCTTGCCCAGAGATGCGCCGACACAGAGATGCATCTTGCACAGCCTGCTGGCAATGGGGATGCCGGCAGAGGTGGGCTGGGAGTAGGGACATGCCCAGGAAGGCTCTTGCAGCATAGGGGGCGGCAGGGGGGAGTGCAGCGCATCACACAGCACCAGCCAGGAGCACATGCATATGCCGGAGCTCACGCGTGTGCCAGAGTGCACGTGTGTGCCGGAGCTCATGCATGTGCCACAGCTCACGCTTGTGCCAGAGTGCACATATGTGCTGAAGCACACGTGTGTGCTGGAGCAGCGCACATGTGCCGGAGTGCGCATGTGCCAGAGAGCACGCATGTGCTGGAGCTCACACGTGCACCAGAGCTCACGCATGTACTGGAGTGTGCA